TAGTCACAAAGATTTTGAAATAATATATACTTAATTTTAACACATATGAACTTATATCTATAACGTATTACTACATGTCTTTTAGTTAATAATTGTTTTATTCTTACAATACATTTTACTTTAAATATTCTTTTATTTGAGATTTAAACTGAGTTGCGGCCCTAATTGTCTTATATCTATGTGGCAGATTGTTCCACAGACGGATAGCATTAGTAAAGAATTGCCTATTTGAGCACAGCGAATTATATCTTGGGCATATATAATTATTCGTTCTAGTTGAGGTAGCAGATTTGAGTTTGTCAAACAAGTATGTTGGTTCTTGGGATATCACAATTTTGTGGAAATATAATTGAGTCCTATAGCGAATCCACGAGGTCAAGTTTAAGCCAAGAATTTTATTAGTCAAGTGTGATACATGGTCAAGTCGTTTTAGATTAAAGACATACCGTACAATTGAGTTCAAACCTACAGCCAGCTTGTGCATATCGCGTGTATCGCAGTGTCCAAATACTTCCCCTCCATAGAACATAGTTGGTATTAAAATTACCCTGGCTACTAAAAGCCTTATTTGGATCGGGAGGAATGACTTGGAATATGACAGCTGCCTTAGCATACCGTATGTTCGCCCTATAGCTTTGGATATATGTTTGCTCCAGCTAAGGGTGTTACTAAATGTAAATCCTAAGTTTACTGCACTCTGCTCAAATTGAATCAGCGTGCCATTGATTGCTAGATTTGGAATGTTCGTTGTATCAATCGGTTTTTTGGCAATTACTATACACTTTGATTTACTAGGGTTTATACACAAGCCATTACCTTTTGCCCATTTATAAATTACATTAAGCATATTATTACTTACACTAACACAAACATTTAACTGCCTAATGGGACTGCTAACATATATTTGCACATCGTCTGCATACAGGTGGACTTCACAATCAGACAAGAGACTGGGCAAATCATTCACATACGTGGAAAACAATAATGGACCCAAGACTGATCCTTGAGGAACACCACGTGAGAGTTGGCAAAAGTCGGAAGTCCTAGCACCTACAACCACTGCTTGTAGCCTATCACAAAGATAGGATTCTATAAATCGAACTGCAGTTCTCGAGAATTTAAAGTGGTTTTTTAGTTTTGTACTTAAAATATGGTGATTGACAGAGTCAAATGCTTTACTATGGTCAAGAAGGGTCAAAAAAGTCACACAATTATTGTCAAGTTTTTGTCGAATGTCTTCCACGATATTTGTTATTGCACTCACACAACTTCTCTTTTTCCGAAAACCCGACTTGTTGCTGCAGCTTCTGTTGTTGTTGTAACTGCTGTTGCTGCTGCTGGTGTTAGTGTTGCTGCTGCTGTAACCGCTGCTGCTGTTGTTGTTGTTGTTGATGTCGTCGCAGCCATTGTAGCCGCGGTTGTCGTGGTTGAAGACCTTTGCCTTTGGCTTCCTTGGCTTTGGGGCTTTTTAATATTTTTGTCATTTTACCCTTTACAGGACTAATGTGTTGTTTTTTCATAATTTGGTTTTTACACTTTGTTAGCGTAGACGCTAACTCGTTAGTTGTGTCTTTGTTGACGTTGTTATTCATTTGTTTAATATTGTTTACAAGGTTCAGCGAATGCTGCTGATTCACAAAGACGCGCACCAATCGCGGTCGCGGTGTTGCTTTAATTACGAACGTTCGTACGGCAGCCGCCCTCACAACCGAGGGCGCGTGCCCAGCGGCATCGGCCGTCTCGCTCTCTCTCTCGTGGGTTGGCTACACAACCCTCAACTTCGAGAGCTTTGTCGGGCTCTAGTGTATCCTTCTCTTTCACTATTTTCTCTTTCAAGCTGTTCCTTCTGTTCTTTCTCTTTCTTTCACTTTCTTATTGTTTTTTCTCACTTTTTCACTTTTTCACTTTTTCACTTTTGCTACTCAGTGCTACTCAGATCACTAGGTACTCAGTCATTACTCAGTTTTAAAGGAAGCGGGTCCATTTCAACGGGAACACTATTTGTAATTTAAAAAAATTGATAATTTTTCAAATTTCAGATTTCGAAATCTAAAATTGCGATAATTAAGATTGTCTTAATTTACTTCTTCGACGCCGTGGTCTTGGCTTTCGGCTTCTTAGCGGTAGCTAGACCAGTTGCTTTCTTCACTTCTTCTTCTTCTTCTTGGGCTTGGCGGACGCTGCTGCCTTGGCCTTCGGTGCCTTGGGCTTCACGGCGGCCGGCTTAGCCTTTGCTGCTGCTGGCTTTGCATCCACCATTAGTTGAGTTGGCGGATGGGATGGTGGAACTGCTGCCTTCTTGGCCTTGGTAGCTCCTGAACCAGATGCCTTTTTGGCGGCCACCTTCTTCTCAACTGGCGCTGGTGGGGCAGCCACTGGGGACGCGGATGTTGCCACTGCAGAGTCGGACATTTTTGCTTCACTAATTATTTTCGAAAGCTAACGAAAAACACTTTTGTTTGTATAGAAATGGCGCGAGCGGTCTAGACCCGACGTCCCTCGTTGATATGAGAATCGAGGAGGAGAGCAGTATAACTATGTGTTTGGCAGCGCTCATTTACGTTGCCTATGTTTGATCGATGTGTAGTTTTATTTTCTTCTTTTCTCAATGTTATATTTTTAAATGGTAGAATGTTTTAATTATTTTAAGCACTTAAATGATTCATAAAACATGTTTAGTTATTTTAATGTGAAATTATTCTTTGGATCATTTTGTAAAAGTGTCTGAAGTTCAAGATTTGCATTTTTGACCAAAGCATTTCGTGAAAAATCATCTGTTAAAATATTAAAATTTATGAATATTATGAATATTTTTTAGAAAGAGTGAAATTTGAACCTTTTACTTGCGGGAACACTCAAAATATTTTCGTTTTAAACAAATTATGGTATTTTTTGACCACTTTCAAATTGGCCCTTTCATACATAAATTGTCGGCTTTCTTGGTACTTTCGGGTATGGTTTTGGCTACCTAAAAAATATTAATATTTTAAAATATATTAGTTTTTGTCAATTTTGTAAAATAAATAGGACACATGTTTTAGTTAATAAACGTTTAAACTGAATTTATGCATTTGTTTCTTGGAAATGGCCTATTATGTTCCCCATACAACGTTCATATTCGAGTTTTCTTGAGCACAGTACCCAAGGAGACGGGAAATTAAATCTTTTAAGCATTTAATTTGATGGATTTTTAGTTTATAAGTGTAATATTAATATCTTAAGAAAAATAGAAAAAACAAATTGATTTGTTTTTTATTACTTAAATAAAATGTTCAAATCAAGCAGTTTGAATACATTTATTTCGAACTTAATAACTTAAGTAAATATTTTATTTATTTATTTATTATGAAATTAACGCGTAATTCAAATTGCGCGAAATTTTAGTTTAGCTATACCAACTTCAGGCCTTAAGGGGGATATACATGTAAACGGTCAAAATGTAGACATTTTTCGTGAATTTTTTAATGTAGGAAATAATTTCTTAAGGAAAAATGTCATTTTCAGGTAATCAGATTTCCCTTCCCACCCTCTTAAAAAATAGTAATACTCATTTGAATTACCCGAATTTAGGTTCAAATAGAAGATAATTTCATGCTCATCATAATAATTTTTGATTCACTCCGATATGTTACATAGTTTTTTGTGAATCGTGCCCATAGCATAGGGTAAAATGCAAAAATTTTAAGCAGAGAAAAATACGTTTAACACTTATATACCTTGCGTATATAGTTGATTTGAGGCACTTGGAGTTGGAATTCGATAATGAAACTTACACAGTATATTCTTTAAGTAACAAACTATTTTTTAAACCAAAAAAAATTTTGGTTTACATGTATATCCCCCTTAAGCTAATTAAAGTAAATATACTGGATTGTGTTTGATTAAAACCACATCAATTTGATCAAACACGGTACAATTTGGTTTTTTAATATACCTTTTTAATCTTTTAAAAATTCCCTGAATTAAAATAATATAAACATTTTATTTAGAAAACGTTTGTATGGGAAATAGAAAAATACTGTTTTGAGGATTTTCCCGGCAATTATTCGAATTTTTCTCACCTTTTAAACCTTCCCTAGACCTCCACGAATAATTCAAGACCAAGATAAGATAAATCCGTTCAGCCATTCTCGAGTTTTAGCGAGACTAATGAACAGCAATTGATTTTTATATATATAGATTTTAAGATCGATCTCTGACTATAAGATATTTAACCATAAAAACGCAAAACCGGGAATGTTTTATTTGTAGTATGTAAATTATATATGAAAATGTATAATCTCTATTATAAATATGTTTGTGGTCCTGAAAAGGACCGATTTGTACAAAATGTATTGACGCTATTTGCTAGTCGAAGCAATCTCAACTTAAGCACGCTCGCCACGGATACGACGGGCCAGCTGGATGTCCTTGGGCATGATTGTGACTCGCTTGGCGTGGATGGCACACAAGTTGGTATCTTCAAAGAGACCAACCAGGTAGGCTTCGCTAGCTTCCTGCAGAGCCATCACGGCTGAGCTCTGGAAGCGCAGGTCAGTCTTGAAGTCCTGAGCGATTTCACGCACCAAGCGCTGGAAAGGCAGCTTGCGGATCAGCAGCTCGGTACTCTTCTGGTAGCGACGGATCTCACGCAGAGCCACAGTTCCGGGGCGATAGCGATGGGGCTTCTTCACACCACCGGTGGCTGGGGCACTCTTGCGAGCGGCCTTGGTTGCCAGTTGTTTGCGTGGCGCCTTGCCACCAGTCGATTTGCGAGCGGTCTGCTTGGTACGGGCCATTTTATATTCTTCTTATTTTCACTGTCTGTCCACTGTTTACTTCACGAGTCTGAAAACACAATAAACGAGCTGCGCATTGCCTACCCTCTTATATAGCAAAACGTGGAGGGTGGAAAAGAGAGAGCTAGTCGAAGCACATGCCATTTCGTTTGTCGAGCACAGAGCGAGAAGGCCATAGCGTTCGGGCTCGCTCGTGCAGAGCAGAGTTTAGGTATAAATAGGAGCGGCCGACGCGGCTTCTACATTAGTTCAGTGGTGACTTTCGAAGTGTAAAAATAAAATAGTGAAAAATGACTGGTCGCGGTAAAGGAGGCAAAGGCTTGTGAAAAAGAAAGAGAAAGACAACAGTGAAGTGAACGGAACCCCAAGAGGATCCCTAATTCAGATAGTGACTGAGAAAAACAAAGCGAAGTGAGTGAGACGGAAGACGTCGAAATTAAAGCCGCCGAAAGGCAAATGGCTGCTTATGCAGCCGCAAACCACCAAACAAAAGCAAAAGTCAACATTAATAAACAAATGGAAAGCGAACAAGAAAAAACAACAACAACAGAAACAACAAAAATAAATATTCAACAACCAAACAATCAAACAATAGAAAATAACCAGCAACAACAAATATACTATGATTTAATCGAAGTTATAACAAGCCAAACACAGCAACCACAACAACTGCAACAAAAAACACAAACTCAGCAACCAAAACAACCAACAATTACAAAACCAAAACCAAACACTTCAAAACCAAAACCAAACACTTCAAAACCAACTCAAAGCAAACGAAAATAAAACCAACAACAATAACAACAACACCAAAAACAACAATAAAAACAAAAATGCTAAAAACAACAACAACAACAGCAGTATCAAAAACAACAACAACACAAATTCAACAAATAGCAGAGCACGACATACCTCGTGATTTTCCAGCCCTAAAGACAAAGACGAAGATGACGTCGCCAGCAGCAGCAGCAGCAGCAGCAACATCAGCATCAACGTCAACATCAGCACAAAAAACAGACGGAGCAGAAACAACAGAAAACGAACATCTTCAGAACCTTCCGGTAATCGTAATATATAATGTAGATGCTAAGACACTTAGAAATACACTTAATATTAAGCATACACTCAACATAATTAGCAAAAACATAATACATATAAAAACGTATACGATTGAAAGCCTAAATATGGCAAGGGATACACTTACAAAAAAGAGCATGTTATTCTTTACTTACACCCCTAAACAACTTAAACCGCACAACATTATCCTAAAGAAATTACCCCCAGAAGTATTTAATAATAATGAAGTAAAAGAGGCACTTAATGAAGCGGTGCCAGAACTAGAAATAATTAGTGTAGAACCATTCAAAGAAAAATTCTGGCTAATAGTCATTAAAAAATCGACCAATATTAGGAGCATTTTTAATATAAGATATCTACTAAATTGCAAAATAAGTATAGAAGGGTATAAGCCACATCCTAACAGTATAAAGCAGTGCAAACGCTGCCAACGTTTCTCGCATGTAGCGAGTAACTGCAATATGCCGTACAGATGCGTTAAATGCATCCAGCCGCATGGCCCAGGGAAATGTGAAATTAAAAAACCAGACAATAATGAAATACAAAGCACAAAATCCCAATGCATCAATTGTAAGGGAGACCATACGGCCAACGCAAAAATATGCCCCATTAGAATCAGTATAGTTAAAAAACTGTCAGAGAAAAGAAACAAAACTAAAGAAACAGTAAACACACAAATCTTAAAAAATATTGGAACAGAAAAGATAACACAGGATAGGAGCTTTTCATCACTATTTACAAATAAACCAAATAACACACACAACATAAACCCACCAAATAAACAAAGCAACAGACCCTTACAAGCAATAAATACCATTAACAAGGAAACCAAAGAAGCCTTTGGAAAGGACATTATCGAATGCATAGAAATAATGAAAAAGACGTTAATTAATTATCCAAATGCAAAAAACGAAAACGATAAAAAATTGATAATCCTAGAATTTATCTATAACATCGCACAAAATCAAACATGAAAATAAAATGCATCTTTCTAAATGTAAATGGAATACTGCAGTTACGGAAAAGAGCTGAACTAAATGAATTTATGAAAAAGCACAAACCAGACGTCATGCACATAGCTGAGCACCACCTTAACGCCAAAAACTCACCCATGCTAGAAAACTACAAACTAATAAGACAAAACGTCGTGACCAAAAAGAGGGAAAAAGATAACTCAGTAGCAATATGCCTTAAAAATAACATTAAATACGAACAGTTACACTTTCAACCTCCGGAAACTTTAGAGGTAATAGCCCTACAGATCTCATACCAAACACAAAGGAACAACACCGAAAACATAATAGTGGCTACCCTATATAAACGTCCAAACGACAACTTAAAAACCAAAGATCTAGACCAAATATACGAAACAATAAAAAAAATCCAACATGTAAAACATGTAATTATAGGCTGCGACCTCAATGCGAAACATCCCTCATGGAACAAACCACAACATTCAATGAATCACATCAACAAATCAGGGAAAACTCTACAGCAATGGATCTTAAATAACCCAGAACTAACCCACCGCAAGAGCCGACACGACCAAACAAAAAATATAACTCCTCCATAGACCTCTTTATAACAACTGTACAAACAGCTTATGACAACAATAATATACAGTACCATGGCTGTGAAGTTATCAAAGACTATCATTCAGATCATCATGCAATAAAAATAGAAATTAAACTTGGTCAGAACAGGCTATTAAAAAATGAAACAAAAAAGATATATAACTTTAATGCAATAAACCCTATAGCCTGGAACACCACTATCCTCAAGCACCTAACCCCCATACCAAATAACCAAAATATAGATATTGACGAAATAGAACAGCATATTAAAAATACAACACATGCAATAAAAATGGGAATTGAAAACGAAGAAGCTATACCCAAACACATAATAAAACCAAACACTTCAATGATTCAGCTGAAGCCAAAATGCATACAACTAATAAAACAAAAGCGCAAACTAAGAAGAATACTGCACTCCAAAACAATGACACTAACAACTAATCAAAAGGAATACATTAAACAAAAGTCCAAAGAAATAGACTACCAAATTAACGCAATAATAGAAGAAACTGAACTCAAAATTATTGAAAAACGCCTTGAAGCAATTAAACCCCATAAACTAAGCTACAAATCTCTCCAACGCATCAACCCACGAATATCACCCAAACAACAACTACAAAGTACAATAATCCTAAATAATATAGAAAAATCAGCAATAGACTTTGACACAAATAGCACTCACCTAGCAACACAATTCGACAAAATAAATGCATTAGCATGGTCATTTGAACAAATACATAAACAAAATGACAATATGACACAGAATAATGGAACACTACGAAATCATAAAGCAAAAATAGAAAAAACAATAGAACAATTAGAAGAAAATATAGAACCCATAATAGAATTCAACAATATACAAACAGCAGATGGTAACTGGGAAAATGCAAATGAACTCGGCTTCGTAAACCCCCAAGAACTCTTCAATATAATAAAAAGCAAAAACAACAAGAAGACAATGGGACCAGACAAGACCAGCAACTTCCTTATAAAACAATTTAACATACCAGTTATAAATCACCTTAGTAAAATAATTAACCACTGCATAAACAAATCACATTACCCGTCAGAATGGAAACACGCAAAAATTATTCCCATACACAAACCAAACACAGACCCACACCTGTTAAGAAGTTACAGACCAATTGCTATACTCTCAGCCCTTGGAATGCTATGAGAGAAAATAATACTACAGAAAATAAAGCAACATCTCAAAAATAATAATATACTAAAAAGCAACCAATTTGGATTCAGAGAGCACACATCTGTGAACCATGCGTTTCTAAAAGCCAACAACTTCATATTCAGCAACATCCATAGAAAACGAGGTACCATAGCTTGTGCTCTCGATTTCGAAAAAGCTTTCGATACTGTGTGGACACACGCACTCATACATAAAATGAAACTATTAAATTTCAACCACCATGTACTTAAAATAACTCTAAACTACCTTACAAACAGAACATTTCACGTGTCAAACTCAGAAAATGAAAATTCCATCATAAGAAAAATAACGGCAGGAGTACCACAAGGATCACTTTTAGGACCCGTCCTATATAACATATACTTGCATGATATACCCATATATACACAAAACCCAAGAACAACAGTTGAAATAACACAACTAATCTATGCAGATGACATATTACTACTTGGATCAGGAGGATCCATGTCTAGCACAGAAATAGAACTAAATAATTACATAGATACTCTCTGTGACTATTTTACAAAATGGCAACTTAAACTAAATAGTAATAAATGCGTCAGCTGCTTTTTCAAAGGTCCAAGAGCAAGCGACCTTTACAAAAACTGTAGACAATATAAACCAAAATTATATATTCTCAATAATATACCCATAAACCAAAGAAATGAAATAAAATACCTGGGAATCACATATGATGAAAAATTAAGCTTTAGATCACATATAACTCACACTGTAAATAAAGCAAAAGCCTTCCAACATGTGTATAACACAAACAACACCAACAATACAAATAAACTCATAAGGATCAAATCATTAGCTTATCGCAAAATAATACAACCAACATTAACATATGGTCATTTAGCTTGGATGAGCATAAGTTCGCATCAGATGGAAAAGCTGAGAGTTTTCGAAAGAAATGCACTTAGGAATGGCACCCACTATATATCGAACGCAAAACTCTACAAACTAACTAATACAATAAAAATAGACGAATTAGCCTTTAAAATATTAGAAACCTTTATAGACAACAACGAAATAGAACAAACACAAATACCACATAGATATCCAGTAGAATTAGTTACACCGAATCACTTGGCACATCTAAAAGAGAAAAACATAATATATAATCAGAACAATAAACTAATCTTCTACAATAGAAGACATCAATCACTAAACCCCAATGATGGTTTAAGATACAAATAGATAGAAACATTATAAAATAAGCTTGCCCCCATGTAAATATTCCCCCCTCCCCACTCACCCACTGTAAATATCCCCCAACCCCTAGTAATAAGAGAAACAAAGAGAAAAACCTGGGTTTTTAAGAAAAGATACTTTTTTTTCCCAGACATACAAACTAAAACTAAAGAAACTAAAATACCACCAAACAATAAACAAACAATTGAAAACAACAAACTGTAAAATCTAAGGCCTAGAAAAGCAACAAAGCGCAAGGCAATACTAATAACCCAAAAGACTGTAAAATTAGTTCCTGTCCGCCTAATTTTATAAATAGAATAAGTATACTTATGTACGTATATTAAACTGACAATAAAGGACACATCAAATGGAATGGAATGGCTTCTACATTAGTTCAGTGGTGACTTTCGAAGTGTAAAAATAAAATAGTGAAAAATGACTGGTCGCGGTAAAGGAGGCAAAGGCTTGGGAAAAGGTGGCGCCAAGCGTCATCGCAAAGTGCTGCGTGATAACATCCAGGGTATCACAAAGCCAGCCATCCGTCGCCTGGCTCGGCGTGGCGGCGTGAAGCGCATTTCGGGACTCATTTACGAGGAAACCCGTGGTGTTCTGAAGGTGTTTTTGGAGAACGTGATCCGTGATGCCGTCACCTACACTGAACACGCCAAGAGGAAGACCGTCACAGCCATGGACGTCGTCTACGCCCTGAAGAGACAAGGCCGCACCCTGTACGGTTTCGGCGGTTAAAAAATCAGTACAGTCTGTACTTCTCAACAATCGGTCCTTTTCAGGACCACCACTTAATTTCATAAAAGAGAAAAATTATCAAGTTATATTTCGCATATATCTTAACATTGAATATTCTAGCCCAAGAATGGAAATATCTTTATTTGAATTGGTCGGGGTTTCCGTAGGAAGACAATCACATCTTTAGGTAGCGTAAACTGTCTTGCAATGACAATGTTCATTGTCCATGTCCTGGAATTTCTCTGACGACTGTACTATTGGTTTCTGCATAGCGATAACCAAAAATATAAATATTATATGTATATTATATATATATAAATTTATTTATTATATAATTATTAATATTGTTTAAACTTAGCTAGGCATATTTGAAAATGTAAGTTTCTTTTAAAATAGTTTGGTCGTCCTGAAAAGGACGTTTGGGTTTGAGTTTGTTTTTATGTACAAGGTTTCTGGCACGCTTTTTGAACGCTTAAGCCTTCTTCTCGGTCTTCTTGGGCAACAGAACAGCCTGGATGTTGGGCAACACACCTCCCTGGGCAATGGTGACGCCGGAGAGCAGCTTGTTCAACTCTTCGTCGTTGCGGATGGCCAGCTGCAGATGACGCGGGATGATCCTCGTCTTCTTGTTGTCACGAGCAGCATTGCCAGCCAACTCGAGAACCTCAGCGGCCCTTGCGGAGCAGACGATGGATACGGCCGACAGGGAACTGAAGTCCGGCACAGTTGGACCGGGACTTTGCCTTTCCCTTAACTTTGCCACCTTTTCCACGACCAGACATTTTCTCTTATTTCAGTTATTTCACTTTATTCACTGCACACACACGAAGAACGAATGTTGCCGGCTGCCCAGCTTGTCACGAATTTATACTTTTAGTTCTGCCTGTGCGTTCAGTTAGGGGTGGGTCGCCTTAGACCTGAAAACATTGCTTGAAAAAAGTATAAGAGCGAACACCCAAAGCCCGACTGCTATGAAAAGTGAGTTAATCGCAAAGTGAAGTGAAAAAATAATGCCGCCTAAAACCAGTGGAAAGGCAGCCAAGAAGGCTGGCAAGGCCCAGAAGAACATCACTAAGAACGACAAGAAGAAGAAGCGGAAGAGGAAGGAGAGCTATGCTATCTACATCTACAAGGTCCTGAAGCAGGTCCATCCCGACACTGGCATTTCCTCGAAGGCGATGAGCATCATGAACAGCTTTGTGAATGACATCTTCGAGCGCATTGCTGCCGAGGCTTCTCGTCTGGCGCACTACAACAAGCGCTCGACCATCACCAGTCGGGAAATCCAAACTGCTGTTCGTCTGCTCCTGCCCGGAGAGTTGGCAAAGCACGCCGTCAGTGAGGGAACCAAGGCTGTCACCAAGTACACCAGCTCCAAGTAAATTTCCCCGCGGATGCGGAGAAGCATTAAAAAGGCCCTTTTCAGGGCCACAAAAAGTTTTACCAAAGAATCTGAATTTTCAAAAGCCTAATTTTTCTTTAAATATATAAAGCTTCCATTTTAAAACCAAAAGCTGTCCTGTAAAATATAAAATCTATTTCGAATTAAAATGTTCCTGGAATAGTACAATTTAAATGTGACCCCTTAAAAAAATTTGGAAAAAAAGTAATTCTACCAAAAAATCGACTTAGATCGATATGTTGACCAAAAATTAATATGGTTTATAGGGTCGGACATGACTCTTGACTGCGATACGCTATTTTCCTCCGAAAATTAATTTATTAGTATTATTATTTATTATCAAATATATAAATACTTCTGGGTTTTAAAGGAAGCGGGAACACTATTTGTAATTTTAAAAAATTGATAATTTAGCTCTCTTTTAAACAAGTTTTGTAGCCCTGAAAAGGGCTTGTTTAAATCAATTTCAAATTTCAGATTTCGAAATCTAAAATTGCCATAATTAAGATTATCTTAATTTACTTCTTCGACGCCGTGGTCTTGGCTTTCGGCTTCTTAGCGGTAGCCGGAGCAGTTGCTTTCTTCACTGCCTTCTTAGGCTTGGCGGACGCTGCTGCCTTGGCCTTCGGTGCCTTGGCTGCCTTTGGCTTCGCGGCGGCCGGCTTAGCCTTTGCTGCTGCTGGCTTTGCCTTTACGACTCCAGTTTTCTTGGCATCCTTGGCCTTTGCCTTCTCAGTTTTCTTCTTCTCGGCAGTCTTCTTGGTGGCAACGGCCTTCTTAGCCTTGGGTTTCTTGTCAGCAGCTCCGGCGGCTTTCTTTGCGGTGGCTCCGGCTTTCTTGGTGACTACCTTCTTGCTTTTGACTTTTTTCTCAGCAGCCGCAACCTTTGGCTTGGGCTCCTTTTTTGCGGAGGCCGACAGTTTGAAGGAACCAGACGCACCCTTTCCCTTTGTTTGGATCAGCTTTCCATTAGCCACTGCCGACTTCAAGTACTTCTTGATGAATGGAGCCAGTTTCTGGGCGTCGCATTTGTAGGTGGCAGTGATATATTTCTTGATTGCCAGAAGCGATGAGCCACCACGCTCCTTCAAGTTCTTGATGGAAGCATCCACCATTTGTTGAGTTGGCGGATGTGATGGTGGAACTGCTGCCTTCTTGGCCTTGGTAGCTCCTGAACCAGATGCCTTTTTGGCGGCCACCTTCTTCTCAACTGGCGCTGGTGGGGCAGCCACTGGGGACGCGGATGTTGCCACTGCAAAGTCGGACATTTTTGCTTCACTAATTATTTTCGAAAGCTAACGAAAAACACTTTTATTTGTATAGAAATGGCGCGAGCGGTCTAGACCCGACGTCCCTCGTTGATATGAGAATCGAGGAGGAGAGCAGTATAACTATGTGTTCGGCAGCGCTCATTTACGTTGCCTATGTTTGATCGATGTGCAGTTTTATTTTCTTCTTTTCTCAATGTTATATTTTTAAATGGTAGAATGTTTTAATTATTTTAAGCACTTAAATGTTTCATAAAACATGTTTAGTTATTTTAATGTGAAATTATTCTTTGGATCATTTTGTAAAAGTGTCTGAAGTTCAAGATTTGCATTTTTGACCAAAGCATTTCGTGAAAAATCATCTGTTAAAATATTAAAATTTATGAATATTATGAATATTTTTTAGAAAGAGTGAAATTTGAACCTTTTACTTGCGGGAACACTCAAAATATTTTCGTTTTAAACAAATTATGGTATTTTTTGACCACTTTCAAATTGGCCCTTTCATACATAAATTGTCGGCTTTCTTGGTACTTTCGGGTATGGTTTTGGCTACCTAAAAAATATTAATATTTTAAAATATATTAGTTTTTGTCAATTTTGTAAAATATATAGGACACATGTTTTAGTTAATAAAAGTTTAAACTGAATTTATGCATTTGTTTCTTGGAAATGGCCTATTATGTTCCCCATACAACGTTTATATTCGAGTTTTCTTGAGCACAGTACCCAAGGAGACGGGAAATGAAATCTTTTAAGCATTTAATTTGATGGATTTTTAGTTTATAAGTGTAATATTAATATCTTAAGAAAAATAGAAAAAACAAATTGATTTGTTTTTTATTACTTAAATAAAATGTTCAAATCAAGCAGTTTGAATACATTTTTTTTTGAACTTAATAACTTAAGTAAATATTTTAATTATTTATTTATTTATTATGAAATTAACGCGTAATTCAAATTGCGCGAAATTTTAGTTTCGCTATACCAACTTCAGGCCTTAAGGGGGATATACATGTAAACGGTCAAAATGTAGACATTTTTCGTGAATTTTTTAATGTAGGAAATAATTTCCTAAGAAAAATGCCATTTTCAGGTAATCAGATTTCACTTCCCACCCTCTTAAAAAATAGTAATATTCATTTGTATTACCCGCATTTAGGTTCAAATAGAAGATAATTTCATGCTGATCATAATAATTTTTGATTCACTCCGATATGTTACATAGTTTTTTTGTGAATCGTGCCCATAGCATAGGTAAAAATGCAAAAATTTTAAGCAGAGAAAAATACGTTTAACACTTATATACCTTGCGTATATAGTTGATTTGAGGCACTTGGAGTTGGAATTCGATAACGAAACTTACACAGTATATTCTTTAAGTAACAAACTATTTTTTAAACCAAAAAAATTTTTGGTTTACATGTATATCCCCCTTAAGCTAATTAAAGTAAATATACTGGATTGTGTTTGATTAAAACCACATCAATTTGATCAAACACGGTACAATTTGGTTTTTTAATATACCTTTTTAATCTTTTAAAAATTCCCTGAATTAAAATAATATAAATGTCCCTACATTCCGTAGATACCAATAGAGTATCGCACTATCTAAATAATTGTAAATATTTGTATTTATATATTTTAAGATCGATCTCTGACTATAAGATATTTAACCATAAAAACGCAAAACCGGGAATGTTTTATTTGTAGTATGTAAATTATATATGAAAATGTATAATCTCTATTATAAATATGTTTGTGGTCCTGAAAAGGACCGATTTGTACAAAATGTATTGACGCTATTTGCTAGTCGAAGCAATCTCAACTTAAGCACGCTCGCCACGGATACGACGGGCCAGCTGGATGTCCTTGGGCATGATTGTGACTCGCTTGGCGTGGATGGCACACAAGTTGGTATCTTCAAAGAGACCAACCAGGTAGGCTTCGCTAGCTTCCTGCAGAGCCATCACGGCCGAGCTCTGGAAGCGCAGGTCAGTCTTGAAGTCCTGAGCGATTTCACGCACCAAGCGCTGGAAAGGCAGCTTGCGGATCAGCAGCTCGGTACTCTTCTGGTAGCGACGGATCTCACGCAGAGCCACAGTTCCGGGGCGATAGCGATGGGGCTTCTTCACACCACCGGTGGCTGGGGCACTCTTGCGAGCGGCCTTGGTTGCCAGTTGTTTGCGTGGCGCCTTGCCACCAGTCGATTTGCGAGCGGTCTGCTTGGTACGGGCCATTTTATATTCTTCTTATTTTCACTGTCTGTCCACTGTTTACTTCACGAGTCTGAAAACACAATAAACGAGCTGCGCATTGCCTACCCTCTTATATAGCAAAACGTGGAGGGTGGAAAAGAGAGAGCTAGTCGAAGCACATGCCATTTCGTTTGTCGAGCACAGAGCGAGAAGGCCATAGCGTTCGGGCTCGCTCGTGCAGAGCACAGTTTAGGTATAAATAGGAGCGGCCGACGCGGCTTCTACATTAGTTCAGTGGTGACTTTCGAAGTGTAAAAATAAAATAGTGAAAAATGACTGGTCGCGGTAAAGGAGGCAAAGGCTTGGGAAAAGGTGGCGCCAAGCGTCATCGCAAAGTGCTGCGTGATAACATCCAGGGTATCACAAAGCCAGCCATCCGTCGTCTGGCTCGGCGTGGCGGCGTGAAGCGCATTTCGGGACTCATTTACGAGGAAACCCGTGGTGTTCTGAAGGTGTTTTTGGAGAACGTGATCCGTGATGCCGTCACCTACACTGAACACGCCAAGAGGAAGACCGTCACAGCCATGGACGTCGTCTACGCCCTGAAGAGACAAGGCCGCACCCTGTACGGTTTCGGCGGTTAAAAAATCAGTACAGTCTGTACTTCTCAACAATCGGTCCTTTTCAGGACCACCACTTAATTTCATAAAAGAGAAAAATTATCAAGTTATATTTCGCATATATCTTAACATTCAATATTCTAGCCCAAGAATGGAAATATCTTTATTTGAATTGGTCGGGGTTTCCGTAGGAAGACAATCACATCTTTAGGTAGCGTAAACTGTCTTGCAATGACAATCTTCATTGTCCATGTCCTGGAATTTCTCTGACGACTGTACTATTGGTTTCTGCAT